GTGACGGCAGCTTCTAGCTTCGCTTATAGCGAAGACGTCCTGGATCGCGGAGAATCCCGAGGCTCCGGAGGAGTTCTCACCTACGTCGTCCACAAGGGACGACTCGGGGACTCAACTCCTACCTCGGGCAGCTCACCTTTCCCCCTATGCCCAGGGGAAAGGTATCAAGCCGTTTGACAGCTGATGCAGGCTGTCAAAATGGCTTTTACGCAGAAACAGGCGGGAGCAGCAAACAGCTGCGTCCAGCGAAGGTGCCTGCCACCGGAAGTCCCAGTAAAATGTTAAATTTCATTTTATAACATTTAAAAGGTTTTAAATATTATTTTGCATTTCAATATTTTATTTTAGTCGCATAGCTTAGAAAACATTAGCTGGGCAGCCAAGTAAATCTGCATTTCAAATTACCATTCTGTGTAAAAACAGTTTGACAGTTATTATGTACAACTGCTGCTTAAAAAACAAGTAAAGCCTCTTAATGAATTTCAGCATTTTTTGAAATTTGATGTATTACAGCCAACCATGTGTTGTGTGTAGTAAAAAAGCTTGTTGCTAATCTTATTTATGTTTTACAAGACAAATACATTAGTGATTAACACATTTTATATAGGTATATTGTATAGTGTTTCAATACTGAATTGTAAAGATTATTTAATATCTGATTCTGTTACTCAGCTATGCCTTATACATCAGCTTTTTGTTCCCCCTTCCCTTTTTCAGGAAATATAAACGTTACTCTTCATGTATGGGATATTGGAGGCCAAACAATAGGAAGCAAGATGCTGGACAAATATATCTATGGTGCACAGGTATGGTTAAAGAATTGTAAACTACCACAGTTTCTTACACTTGGTCTTCCTAAAATGTTTATTTAAAAATAATAATTTACAACACAACTTTACTGTAAATGAATATTAAAATGTAAATATATACATGAAATTTATTTGAACATTCATTTTATAGATCAAGGGTTATTTTGGGCAGGGTGCTTGGACAGTATGTAAGGACCCACCCCACTTTGCATCTTAAGAAGACAGAACTCCTGGAATATTTCTTCCAATAGGCATCTTTATTAAGTGAAAGCTGGTTGCAGGTGTTCTAGACAGGACTTGGGTCCAAGCTCTCCCATTCAAGGTTTTAAGGGATCCCCCATTAGCCACACCCCATCACCCCCTTCTCCCAGCGACAGTCCCAGGCATTACATTCCCACCCCCTTTTCCTCACTGCCGGGAGGAGACTTCAGAAAGGATTACATGAAAGGTAATGACCCCCATTGTTATTGTTAGTCCTTTTGGTGATATCCACATCCAGTCCCTTTGAAGTATACTGAAGGAAGTGAGGGCCATAAAGCCCCTTTGTTCACCCCCTTCCCTTCATCGTATGACAGAATCCAGAGAAGGCAGAAATGGGGTTTTCCATAGTTGATAACTAGAGATGAAATATATTTGGATTCTGACATCCTGCCCCCTTAAAAATAAGAGAGATCCACCTGAAAGAAAACAAAACAGGTATAAAAGTTAGTCAGGCTTGTTAGGATACTCTGTGTGAAACTTCTTTAATAGCTTCAGGGCTCTGACATGACGTTTATGGACCCACTCGTTTTGTGAGGCAGGGAGGTGTTTCCATGCAACTAGGTACTGAGTCGCTCCATGATATCTCCTAGAATCTAAGATTTCCTTTATCTTGAAGTGTTGTTCGCCTTCCACCATGATTGGAGGTGGTGGTGGTGGGATTTTAGGCCGTAACGATGACTGATGCTCTCTTTTCAGCAAGCTGCAATGAAAAATTGGGTGTATTTGTCTGAGACTTTTTGGTAATTCTAATTCTACTGTTACAGGGTTTATGATTCTTTTAATTGGAAAAGGTCCTATATATTTTGGTCCCAGTTTTTTACAGGGTTGTAGGGACTTCAGGTATTTTGTAGATAAGTACACCATTTCTCCTATAATGAATGGTGTAGGCGCAACCCTTTTTTTATCGGCTTGTGCTTTGTACGCCTGCCTAACTTCATCTAGTGCTTTTCTAACTATTGGCCAGGTGTTTTGTAATTGTTCCATCCATTCTTTCAGTGATGGGATTGTTGGTTCGTTTGGGGTTAATTCTGGCATGGGGTTGAAACTTTGACCGTTGGCTATTTGAAAAGGAGTGTAACCTGTGCTGGAGTGGACTGCATTATTGTAGGCAACTTCTGCGAAAGGGAGTAGGTCCGTCCACGTTGTCTGCTGAAAATCAATAAAACATCTTAAATATTGCTCAAGTACTGAGTTCATTTTTTCCGATTGACCATTCGACTGAGGGTGATGGCTAGATGTCAGTCCCTGAGTGGTCCCTAAGAGGGATAAAAATTCCTTCCAAAATGTAGACGTAAATTGCACTCCCCTATCAGAGATGATGCGTTGGGGTGCTCCATGCAATCTGTAAATATGCTGGACAAAAAGTTTTGCTAAGGCTTTTACGGTGGGAATCTTTTGGCAAGGGATAAAGTGCACCTGTTTGGAAAACAAGTCCGTGACCGTCCAGACAACAGTATTCCCATTGCTTTCTGGTAATTCCACTATAAAATCCATGGCTA